GTGTGCCTTGGCACACCTGTGAGGTGGGATGGATTATCTCGGCAAAGGAGAAGTGCTCACTATCACAGATTCTTTCAGATTTGTGAACAATATGAGAGAAATGGTTATTTTGTGTATATAGAAAATGTTTTAGATCTTTGAGTTCATCTCATGAAAAATGGGAGCAAAAACAAAAGTGTTGCGTTTATATTTTTGTTCAGTGTAGATCCACTTTCCTGATATCAGCTTGCTTCACCATATGGATCAGTATGTTCTGTTCTCATCTCATACATCCAAACCCCCCCAGTGTGGGCGCTGGGAGGCAAAAGCATGCACCTAGTGTCTGCTCTGTGACCCCGACCCCCCTGGTCCCAGAGCAGGGATCCATACAGTGGATCGCTCACAGTTACTTATAGATCAACTGTCGAGAGCGAGATTTGCCCCTGGAGGATTTAAGACTGGTGAGTGTGGAAAACTGATTCATAATAGCTTGTTTAGACTGGTTTGAAATCCTTCACACTAATTACACTTTCTTAGGTTCAACATTTAACTGACAAAATGATTGGAGCAGTTCAGCTGAAAGGCAGTCAGGTTAAATTGCCACATTTAAGGCTTTTAAAACAACATGTCATGCTTGTCATTGGATATTTATCAAAGTCAAAACACTACAAGGACTTTGACTAAAAAAGCATATCACTTCGTCAAGCTACTTTAAAAATGGAAACCAATTCATTCCGCGGGTCGGCTTTGGGATGATTATTTTCCCTTAAACTATGATGCATCTAACAAGGAAAGCAGCATTACATCGCTCCATTTTCCCCTGCTCTCTGACTGTCTGTGGGGTTTTTATCCTTATCTTTCTCCTTCTTCCATTTCTCTCCCTCTCCTCCCTCTCCTCCCTCTCTCCAGCGTCTCTGCCTGTTGGAGCAAGGATCATCGATCGCCCCGTCACCGCACAGCTCCCTGGTACACTCTCATTATTTCAGCTAGAGAGGACAGAGGCAGCGCGGGCAAGAGAGAGACAGGCCGTCAGAGCAGCAGGTAGGGAGGGAGGGAGGGAGGCTGAGGAAGGAAAGCAGAAAGGATGAAAGCAAGGAGAACAAAGAGGGTAAAAAAAGAGAGGATGAAAAGAAATAAGGTGGCAGAGGAAGTGGGACACATACAATCGGACAAGAAGAGGAGCACAGATTCTTTTGTGGACTTGATGTCAAATGTTTTGATTTTTTTCATGATTAAATCTGAGATTTGTCCCTGATTTCATCTTTTTCACCATCATACAGTATATCATCACAAAATCAGACATGTTATTTGATTAAAGACAACTTGAGCTTAGAACACCTTTACATAGCTGATAGACTTATTTTATCTTTCCGTGTCGCTATCCTTGAGCATCTTGCGTTCCTTTGGGTGTGTCGGCAAAAATTGCAGCTAAAAGTGTAAGGTAAGTATGACCCAATCAAAATCATTGTCGGAGAGTCGAAGATTGCTTCGGTTGATTATGGCAAAAACGCATTTATCTGGACTGACGTATAGCTCAGTAGGTAAAGCTGGTGAGCTTGGCACTATTTGATGCAATGACCCCTCTCTACAATCATTGCTAACTTAGTGTGATCAAAATTGCGCGAATAGATACATTCATACAATCGCAACAGACTAAATCTAGAGTATTGGTGAAAGGGTTTGCCTTTATTTATTTTTCTGGATTTCGATTTTTATGATTTGTATTTGAAATGTTGTTCCTTTCGTCGGATCCAAAAAAATCGAATACGTTAGTCATCTGAAAATGTAGGGATTTGGACATTTGAATACTCTAGGTATGAAACATCGAGATAGCAGAATAATATTCACATGGAGACAAGGAAATAATATGAATATTGAAACAATAATCAAACAGTGTATGCAAAAATGATATGGTTTAATTTGCTCAATCTGCTGATCGTCCCTTCAATACATTGATCAAGTTCCTTCTGCCTGACAGAAAACTCCATGATCCCTGGGAAGCTTGAAGTAGGACTCTCCCTCTCTGATTCGACAGCTAACGCCCGAGATCCGTGTATCCCAGGTTCCCAGCTTTATTAAAGCAATAACCAAATTAGGGACCCTAACAAGGCAGTACACACAACACTAGGGGACGAATTCATTTAGGACGCAAGCGGCACTAATGCAAAGCTATCTGTCAAATCGCCATGCATTTATGCTTCCTCTACACTCCCATACAGGAGGTGTGTTTGCGCATGCGTGTGTGTGTGTGTGTGTGTGTGTGTGTGTGTGTGTGTGTGTGTGTGTGTGTGTGTGTGTGTGTGTGTGTGTGTGTGTGTGTGTGTGTGAGATAGCAGATGTGCAGGACAAGGTGTGTGGGTGTGCTGTGAGCCAGTGGAGATGTTCTCACTCAATACCACCAGCAATTCTAATTGATGGGCCGTGCACACACAAACACACACACAAACACACAAATCCTCCTTCAAACAATGCACATTGGTAAGCTTATGCACATGATCCTCTCCTCTAAATGCATACACACACTCACACCGAACACACACACTAATCTAGGCCAGACCCTTGAGAGAGAGACACATCCACACTGCAGCTGGACACGGCTTGAGATGAACACATCACCCTCTGACAGATAGAGGGAGCGGGAGAGAAAAGAGTGGGATGAAAGGAAGGAGGGAGGAGGGAGGGAAGGAGATTAGCATTCTCATCAGCACTGGAGGAATTTGTCTTGACTGCCAAGCTCCTTCTCCTCTCTCTTATTCCCTTTCTCCTCATCAAGCCCCCTCTCTACTTATCCATATCTCCCTCTTCCGCCTCCCTAATCTCCATCTTTCCAATCAGACGTGTCCTCCGTTGCTCCCCCTTTCTCCGTCGCCCCTTTCTCATCACACCACTTTTCACCTCTCTCCTAGTTCCTTGATACAGGGTTTAATAGCTGTGTTGTCCATGTTGGTCTGGGAGGACAGAATCAGCAACCACCACACCACCATGGTCCTATTTAACCTCACACTGGGGTAATACACACCCAAACACTGACTTGATAACAAGCAGAACCAACAAACGTACAAATGTCACCATTACTGAATATTGGGTTGTTTATGATTACTTGTTTTAATTTTCCACTAGGTGGAGCTGTTTCTCATGTGTCATTTTCACGGCAAACTAGGGATCTGAGACTGCCAAGGCACACNTTTAACCTCACACTGGGGATACACACCCAAACACTGACTTGATAACAAGCAGAACCAACAAACGTACAAATGTCACCATTACTGAATATTGGGTTGTTTATGATTACTTGTTTTAATTTTCCACTAGGTGGAGCTGTTTCTCATGTGTCATTTTCACGGCAAACTAGGGATGTCACAAGAAACGATATTTTGGTACTCAAACGCAAGAAATTTACAAGAAATTTGAATGAATACAGTCGTACGAAGTAGATTGTATTTATAGCTACATAAAATAGATATTAAAGCTTCCAGTACCACACTTCCAGTAAACACATACATTCAATGGACAAACTCACAATTCAATGAATCATCATTAAGGTTAACTACCAGCATATTGCACTAATAAATAATGCAACACTTGACTCGGGAAATCCAGATTTACTTTTCTCCTACCAAATGTTTCACCTCTAGAGTATAGGATTAGGGCCACATGTGAATATTCTCACTAGTTCTGACCAAAAGTGAACAATTTTTTGAGAACTGTGACAAAAAAGTCTGAATTCTGTGTTTGAAGTGAGAATTAAGAGAAAAAAAAAGTCAGAAATCGGCAAAAGAAAAGATTCAAACTTGTTTGGTCAGATCCGTCAGATCTCATAAAAAAATTCCCTTGTGGCCCAAATCCTCTTCCGTACACCTCAAACTCATGACAGTAACATTTAGTGCAGAATACATGAACATATGTATTAATTCAAAGAAATGTGTGTAAAAACCAAATATGCCTATCGTACACATGTAGCCCAAAGGGCAAGACCTTTGTCTCTGTGTGCCTGTACTCATAATTTAACCACATTGTAAAGTAGTCACAAAACTTTTCCTAACACAGAAAGAACAATGCTATCTCTAAGCTAAAATCCATACCCAATACAGCGGGAACAATGATGCTCTGAGGCCATGTTGTGAAGGATCATGGATAAAAAATGCAAACTTCTCAGTCAAGCTGGAACAGGACGCACCGCTCCACACTGCGTGTTTTATTTAACGCCTCGCACTAACATATAAACAGCTCCATCTGGTGAACAATTGAAATAGTTTCATTTTTTGTAGAACAGGGACAAAGTTAAATGACCCAAAATGAAACTGTAATTGAAATCTTGATGGATCTAGATGTGAATAAATAATCCATGATTCACAAACAGAGACAGTGAGAGTATGTGCATACACGTTTCCAAACTGCTGGAACTGGAGCTTTCTCAAAGGGTCAGATTACTGAGATCAAGTTTTCACACACACACACACACACACACACACACACACACACACACACACACACACACACACACACACACACACACACACACACACACACACACACACACACACACACACACACACACACACACACACACACACACACACACACACTACACTACACACACACACACTACACTACACTACGAACACTACGACTACGAACTACGTACTACGTACTACGTACT